GGGTGCTCTATAGTGTCACGACTCGGAATCAGAATCAATGATACCATGTCCGATCGTTTTTTCAGTCACACGCTAAAAAAGTCTGAGAAATTTTTCGTTGAGGTGTTTCGTCATTGAGGGTTTTGCAGGTGTGCGTATCATGGAAAATGTCATTACACGTCTTGTGCTTCTAGCACATCGGCTAGCGGGATTTCCATTAGTATTATCAAGCGGTCTTGAATCATGGCATGTCGTCGTTTCCGCCACTCGCGCTTCACTCTAGGTGCTTTTGGGATCCTAGATTATCATCGACTGTGAACGCTGAGCGGAGTTGACTTGCTCCCCGCTCTGGCCAGAGCTGGACCTGGTAGACGTTCCTTGGAACCACTTGGCCGACAAGCCATTTTTGGCAACCGAGACCTTTCTAGTAGCGCTCAGATAAGTGCTTTGGACGATCAATTGAACGGCCGAATCTTCTGATCTCCTAGTCTGGCTGGGGCAGACTAGGGTCGTGCCACACGAATCTACTATACTGTATGTGATAATTCCTTCCGAGTCCATTACACGCTAAAAAGGTCTAGGAAATTTTTTAGTGGATGGTCTATTGTCACTGAGGGTCGTGCTGCGAAGTTATCCCGCGCGATTCGGAGCTCGGACGAAATGGATCAGACCTGGTTCTTTAGTACTCCTGATCTCCCCACGCTGGTACCGCTGGTACCGATTATTTCGGCTTGGTAACATAACAGTTTGTTTTTTCGCCTGTGCGTATGGCAGCCTACGAGAGCTGAACGAACAAGGTTTAAGGTGGATGATATGTGCTCCCGTTAGGGAACTCCGTACTTGGCGTCCACTCGCTATCCCGGATCGTTTTATATTTTGGAGCTATGAACCGAACGAGACGTCTTGTGATTCTAGCTTATGCCCTAGCCGCCTTTCCGCTCTTGAGGACCTTGGGCCGCAGATCTCTCGCCGTAGCGGCGCTCGGGTAAGTAAAAGCTCTAGCGCAATTAGAATCCCCAAGCCCCAAGATAGCCATAATCATGAGCATTGGAAAATCTATAAAAAGCCAGGGCAGTTTGGCCTCCGACATCAGCTTCCCGCAAACTGTGACCGCAGTTGAATAGCTCTTCGTTTGTTGACGTTATATAAGCTCTTTACATTTCGATTACCAACGTACTTCCAAGTTCATGTGCTCCGTCTACAGGCTCTGGGAGCGGTAACGACACTGGTCTCCAGTGTATCACCGATATCATGAATAACGCGACCACCTACATTCAACCGCTCAGGGACCAGATTGTTAGTACGTTCGTTGCTCCTGAGTTCTCATGCCGCTCTGATCACTATTCAGCCTCTGCCAAGTCCGGCACGCCTGACGTTGACACCATTCAAAAGATTAATGCAGTCATTTCGACCACTGCTGAGCAACTGACAGCTGCGCCCCCGGTTGACTTGTCTGGTCTTGGCACGACAAACCTCCAGAAGGCCATTGCTATGCCTGCTGTGAGTGTCTTTGTGAAATTGGAAATGAAAATTCCTGAATAATTGTTGGTTTTATAAGTTGCCCACCGTGGTGAACCTGGAGACCTTGGGCCTCGTGAGCGCTGTCCTTGATCTTGTTGATACAAGCGTCAACTTGGTGCGGTACGGACGTTCTTTTCTTTCTTGTCTTTATTTATTGAGAATGTTTGCAATGTTTAGCGGTATAGTTAGGGGCGGCGGAGGAGGCTTGGACAGCGCCAACAAGGTAGTTACACCTAACCAGACCTAACCCATTACCGAGATTTGTTAGTACATCACGAGGCATGTGTGTTATGTCAATACAATACAATGTCTAGTAGTATGACCGTCACACTCATGGCCGTACGCCAGCGGTGATCAAGAGTACTGTACATACGGAAACTGTGCCCGCTTAGACTCAGGTCCGGGCATTGCTTACCTCAGCAACCCACCGAGTGGCGAAAGAGCGCAAAAAGACAAGTGACACCAACATGCCGCCAAACGGCCAAGTTGCAAACGGGAGCGCAGAGTCGCCCGCCCACCTCTCCACCCCGCCCATCGTCGGCATCAACCTCGGCAACTCGTACGCCTCCATCGCCGTCTTCACAAAGGTCCGTCGTCCACCCCGTCGTCTGTTCACCCTCCCAAACGCCCCCTCGACGCGCACAGGAAGGCGTCGCAGAATGCATCGCCAACGAAGATGGCGAACGCCAAATCGCGTGTGCACTCGCTTTCCACGGTGAAGAAATGGTACGCTCCAAACGACGCTTGATCATTTTCATCCAGCCGATCACGCACGATCACAGTACATCGGAAACCAAGCCAAGCAACAGCTCGTCAAAAACGCTCAAAACACCATCACCGGCTTCCGAAATCTCCTTGGAAAAAAGTGCGTCGTCACGACCCCCATCGGTTTGGTTCTGACGCAGAAAAAACCATATGGGATAGGTTTTCAGAGGTTCCTCGGGATAAACTGTCCGTGTCCAGCCCTGTCATCCAACATCCTTCCTTGCCCGACACACCCGCCTACAAAGTCAAGGTCCTCCAGCCCGCCCCATCGCCCCTGCCCCGCACCGCGACCAACACCCCCGCAGCCTCGCAAATGGCCACACCCCGCTCCGAGCCCGTTGAAGTAGAGCGCATCCTGACCGTCTCCGAAGTGACCACCATCTTCCTCGCCTCCCTCCGTCAGTCTGCAGAAGACTTTCTCGGGAGAAAGGTCGTTGGCACCGTCATCGCCATACCCTCCTGGTTTGACGACGCCCAGAGGGAAGCCCTCTCCAAGGCTGCAGACGACGCTGGTATCCATGTTCTCCAGCTCCTCGACGATGCCGGCGCGGTCGCTGTAGGCACCTCGGACACCGCAGACGGCGTCTCCGCCGATCGCACACAACTGATCGTCGATCTCGGCGCGTCCACCCTCGAACTATCGCTCCTCTCCATCCGCGAGGGCCTCGCATACGCCCTTGCCACGCTCTCAGATCCCACGATCGGGGGAGACGAGATCGACTCAAAGCTGATCCGCTTTTTCGCAAAAGAATTCACCAAGAAGACAAAAACGCCTCTGACGGTCGCACCCGCGACAGACCCCCAGGATAAACGGGCAGAGGCGAAGCTCCGCCTTGCGGTCGAGCACACTAAGCGCACGTTGAGCGCCAGTCCAGGCGCTGCCACCTGTTCTGTCGAGTCACTCAAGGACGGCCTGGACTATACCGGCTCCATCAACCGGCTCCGATTCGACATGGAGGTGCGATCCATCTACGACAAGGTGTATGCCAAAGTCAAGGAGCTCGCCGAGAGCGCCGAGATCGATCTCTATGACATTGACGAGATCGTGTACATCGGAGGGTCAGCCTCGCTTCCCGGTCTAGACGAAACCCTGTCCCAGGGATTCATCGAGTCCGTCATCACGCCGTTCAAGGCAGGGACCGTCGTCGGCGGGGGCGTCGGCGACCCAACCACGATCCTTGCGCGTGGATGCGCCCTACAAGCCCACTTGCTCGTGTCGCTCGCGCAAGAGTCGTCGGAAGAGCTGCTGGGAACGTTCAGCAAGGAGAACCAGGTGACCAGCGTCGCTGCCACCAGTCGGACCATCGGCCTGCTCGTGCCTCAAGAGGACGCTGAAGGGTCGTTAGGAGGTATCTGGATACCTCTCATTCTTAAAGAGACACCTCTCCCTTGTCGTCGAACGTTGACCTTCGAGGTCGATGCCAGCGGGGCCGACACAAAAGTCGGTTTCGACCTGTGGGAAGTGAAGGAGGGGGTCAAGATAGACCACGCGAAGCCCCCCAAGTTCGAGGACGAGGAAGAAGAGGAGGAAGTAGAAGAGGAACTCGAGCAAGTAAAAGAAAAGACGCTGACCAAGGAAGCTTTCTTGGCTTCCTTGTCGCTGTCACCTCAGAACACCGTCCAAGGCAAAACGAAGGTGCAGGTGCAGGCCATCGTGTCCGGCACCGGCGCTCTACAAGTCAGTTTCCGAGAAGTCATAAATGACAGCTTTGGGGAGGCAGTCACTGCGACGATCGCAGCGCAATGATGGTGCGCCCACATCTTCATCCGTCGTGCGCATATATTCATCGTTTCTCTCCAGCGATCGACTATAGACGACAACACTAGAGTCATTCCCCGATATCCTCGTTCCAGTCCTGCATTGTTTGCGTAGAGTATGTGTCACACGTAGACGATGTGATAAAAGACGTTGCTGTGTTTGGCTTACCTCTGGTTTCTCCTTGATGTACTGTTGCATGAGGGCTTTACACTCGGGGTCGTCCAAGACGACGACCTCGACACCGTTTGATTTAAGCAGCTCTTCGCCGCCAACCCAGTTGGTGTTTTCCCCGATCACGACGCGGGGTATCTTGTAGAGCAAGATGGCGCCTGTGCACATGACGCAAGGACTGTTTAAAAAGGCAGTGACGGGTAAACAAGAGCCTAGCATAGACGTTGCAATGACGTACCTCAACGTCGTATACTGCATGAACCCACGATCGACGTCATCCATCCGCCGCGTGTATGAAGGAGAAGGGCATAGATGCATACCATGGTCGAGTTCCTGTATACCGCCGCCCTCTGCCGACCCGCGTCCTCGAGCGCAGCGATCTCGGCGTGCAACGTCGGCGACGACTTTTGAATCCGCTGGTTGTGCGCGCACCCGAGGACTGCTGCGTTGGCTGCGTCGGGCGAGGTGTTACTACCGTGGAAGATGAGGGCAGCGCCTATGGGAATGCCGCCTTCTTGATGGCTCTTGCGTGCTTTTGCGAGCGCGGACGCGAGTCCGAGTTTGTCGAGGTCGGTTGTGGATGGGGGCATTTGGAGATGCGTATTTGGCATCGGATCGGGCGCCGAGAATCTCTCCCTCGGGAAAAACCGGAACCTCCGCTTGGACCATCAGAACGTCACGCCACGGATGGATCACGGTGCGGTCTAAATGCGCACGAGATGTAAAAGTGTGGAATCCCGCAAGGTTAGTCTTACGTCCTGGATCCGTGATGAGTCAGCGACGACGATGAAAAAGAAAAACGGACTGCCCTGAGCAAGGCTCGAACTTGCGACCTCAGGATTGCCCAGGAGTTGTGACCTGGTCATACAGACGTATGAGACCTGCGCTCTAGCCAACTGAGCCATCAGGGCCATGATTTTAGATAATTTCATGTTCATTATGATGCTCGGAAGCGTTAACTGATTGTCGGCACCGCATATGAAACAGGTACTCGCAAGAAAAGTAGCAAGAGCAAAATACATGCACTCGAACCATGTCGAACCTCTCGTAGCACAACATACTCGATGTCGATGAGAAGGGCGCTGCAATGGGCTTACTTTACAGGAAGATACCAGTAACTGCCCCGGACCCGGAAATCATCAGAATTCTCAAGATTTTTTGACAAATCCACTGGCAAGGGGCTGAACTAATTCTCCTACTTCAAAGTCTGCCCATGATGGATCTGAACAATTTTGACAGATTCTGATGATCACGTCTTCCATTGCGCGCAATATTGGTCGATCAGCTGCATCGCCTTCCTATGTAGCCCTTGCGTCGGCGACTACGTAAGTACAGCAACACGAGGTCCGAGTCAGTCCTAGCTAGGTTACCTGTGCGTGTGAGTTCTATTTCACAAATGTCCAATTCCCAGGGGTCCCAAAGCCTGGTGGAGCTGTCTTGTGACCATTTAATACTTACTATTACTAGTCAGGGAGCAAACATGCACCGAGCAGAAGATTGGCAATCTTCCATGTGAAGGACACCAACAATCCTTTTCGAGGAACATTCCCCACATACCGGGACAGCCCTGATCATTTCTACCAATAACACAGTAGGTTGTCTTCTCAAAGGCAGCTCGGGATTACGCATTTCGAATGCTATGTCACGGTGCCTGAAGATTTGATTGTTTCACCGTAAGTCGGACCAAATATTCTGCGAGGCGCATCAAGACCGTGCAGACACCGCACCCTGGGGCAGAATCTTCGTCTGGAAACTGGATTGCGCCATCCCCCAGTGTTATGTAACCCGACAGGCAAAAAGCAATCAAATCTTTATATGTCCCAAACCAAGTTCCAAATTGAAAGAACGCAACACCACGGTCTGGGCACCATATATAAGGGTTGGTGGATACGCCATGCCATTGTTCGCGGTTCATCCCGATTCCCACTCCTGCGCGCTACATTAAAAGGGGCTGTTTGGTTGAGCACGCTCACTGGGAAACGTCTATCGATCTGTGTAGGGGTCACTTTCCATCCCTCATGACTTCTGGATACGCTATCGCTACATTGGTGGTGTTCATAATCTCCATTTTCTTCGTAATTCATCCGGTAACCATACCAACTCCCCATCCTATACCTCGAATACCAATAAACCTCACCACCGCGCCAATCCTGGCTATCGCGTTACTATGGGCCGTCCAATGCCTTGATCCAGCAGTCATCCGCAACGGGATTGTAGGCACGGAAGGCGTCAAACCTTACAACATCCTCATCCTATTTTTCTCTGTGGCTTACATGACCACAACTCTCGACATCACCGGTATACTCCAGGCTGCAGCACTTTGGGTCAGCAACAAGGGTGGTTACAATGGATGGAAGCTGTACCTTTATCTCTACGTCATGCTTACCCTTTTCTCGGTCGTACTCGGCAATGATTCCGTCATCCTTTCCGGAACCGCATCTCTAGTCTATTACACAGAAGTCGCAAAACTCGACCCGAGAGCATGGATCATGGCTGAATTCGCCGCTGCGAACACTGCCAGCATGGTTTTATTTGTAGGGAATCCCACAAATGTATGTATTCCTCACATGCACTGGTCTCGCACTGAATACGTTCATGTAAGGTTGTCATATGCGAAGGCTTTAGTGTCAACAACGCTGCCTTCACAGCGTACACAATCCTTCCCTTCCTCGCTTGCAACGTCTTCTGCTTCATTGCGCTGGCATTTCAATATAGCAAACAAGTCCCACGGAAATTAACTCGTGCCACTCATCGGGACCCCCGGTTAGCTCTTCTAGATCCTGTTGGTGCCTGGGTTGGCAGTATTATGCTCGGCGCAATGCTTATCCTCTGTCTCGTCGCGCGCTTCTTAGGAACCGACGTGTGGATGATCAGCTTACCTTTCGCAGTTGGTAAATTCCTATTCGATCTTGGGTGGGATCATTATCGGTACTCCCGTGGTATCCCGATGTTGGACCGTGGCTTGCCCAAGGCGACGGGGGAAGGGCTCGATGAAGGTTCTGGAGTTGAGAAGTACAGAAACACAGAAGCCATCCCTTCGCGTCATTCCTTACCCACGGATGTGGAACGATCGCCGTCTTTTCCACCCGACGAAGGAGCCGCCGTCGAGTCGAATCTCGAACCCCAACCTTTGCCCGCTCCCGAAGCGGAGACCGAAACTTCCAGATGGCATTGGTCGTGCATGGCCGATTGGTCGTACATGGTCGATTTGCACCACCGACTCGACAAACACTTCCCAACTTTCATCACCGCGCTGCCGCGATTGCCTTTTTCCCTCGTCCCCTTTGTATTTTCTCAGTTTATCCTTATCGAGGCGCTCAACCACCAGGGATGGGTGAACGTGTTTGCCGAGTGGCTCGTTCGAGCTTCTCATAATCAAATTCACCCTACTATCTGGTTGATCGGTGGTCTCGGTGTCATCCTGTGTAACCTCTCTGGCACCAGCATTGGCGCCACCATCCTTCTCACCAAAGTCGTTCGTGCCGCCGCCCTTCCATACGATGCCAATCGTGCAGCTGCCGCAGCGCTCGCTGTGGCGTCAAACATTGGAGCCGTCAGTTTCACGTTTTCAGCTTCACTCGCGGGTTTGCTCTGGCGAGCCATTTTGAGGCAAAAGGAAGTCCATGTGAGGCAAAGGGATTTTGCATTTTGGAATCTGTTGCCACTCTTGGTGATGACAACTGCGGGGCTTGGGATCGTTTCGGCAGAGATGGCAGTTCTATTTCAATCATGATGGGGGTTTCGGCGTCATACATGCTGCACTCACACACTTCCTTCGAAATGAGCCGCAGCCTGCCGCGTTGGGAAATGGCAGGCTAAGATAGATGGTTGCGCCCGGATCCGGGCGCGGTTGCTTCATTATCCTTATAGATGTTGGCCATCACTAGACAGTCGTCTCCGAGCGAGTATAGTCTTTAGGTCAAAAACACAATTTCTGTTGCAATCCAGAAGTTTCGCCTTACGAAAACCCTTCAAGGGCGTGAGAATTGGCACACAGTGGGTGGATTTGAGGCAATCCGAAATTCATCGAACACTACTGAAAACACGTGGTGATGGAACCCCTTATGGCCTGATTGCTCGTTGCAGGCCGTGGGTATACATAAGTACAGTGCGAAGGGGGCGTACGAACCGTAGCATGTTCCTTAACTTCTTCACTCTCAGTCTGTGACAATGTCGCTGATTCAGATAAACCCTTCGTCGACAATGGCCGGTGCGTGACTCTTGGTAAAATGGTGTTGTATTTATGTTGACTGATGGCCAAGAGCATTCAACGCCCATCGAAATCGACACCGATCGCGATATTTGGAAAGTAACGTTCACAACAAATGGCGAGTATCTCATAGGCGGTGATGACAAGGGTGTTCGAGTGTGGCGAGTCGCGGACGGCAAACAAATGACAACAATGGAAACGGGGACTGTGACCTGTCTCGCAGTGTCCAAGGACGGCAAATGGATCGCAGCGGGGTCAGCCTGGGGCGACGTTATCGTGTGGGATACGAAGACACAGGAAAAAGCCCTCTCGCTCAAGGATGACTACTCCGTCTTAGGAGTTGATTTCTCTCCCGACTCGACTCGACTTGTCGTCGCGCGCACAGCCACCGTTTGGGACATCGCAACTTGCAAACCACTGTTCACACTCCGCCACAAGCATGGGGTGATCGCAGCGAAATACTCGCCGCAGGGAGATCGAATCGCGACAGCCAGCCAAGATTCCCTTCGAGTCTTCGACAGCAAAGATGGTAGCTTTCTCGTGGACATCCCAGTAAACGTAACCTCGGTCTCCGAGTCGTACGATGCTGGCCTCCTCTGGTTCAACGACCATCTCTTTGTCATATCGGACAGGTTATATATCAAGCAATTTGAAGGATCTACCGGGTTACCAGTCTCGGAGTGGCCAGTTCCCGATGGAAACAGGGACTCATGCATTGCCCTCCCGCAGCACGGAGAATTCATCTCATACTCTACAAAGCGCACTGTTACGTTTTGGCACACGTCCACACACGCAGAGCTCGGTCTGATCCACGGCACTCAAGACATACGTTCAACTGCACTCTCTCCAGATGGCCGGTTTCTCGCAATTGGTACAGTGGACGCGAAACTCACCGTCAAAAATCTCAAAGACGTCCTGCCTCCATCACATTCTACTGTAAGTGTAGCATATCAGATTCGTTTTACTGCCAATCTCCCTCGCTTCAGTTGGACATGGACACTGATCGCCCCGTCTCTCAGTTACCATTCATCGATATTCCCGACACTGCCCTTGATTCCTGGAAGCGGGATCGGCTCGATGACATGGAGGCATCATTGACGGTATCAATCACCAATTCTAGGGGCCAGAACCATTCCGCACTCGCAAACAGAGCTCTCGTAAGAGCGCATTTGCGACTTTGGGACCTAGCGATCGACGATGCCGAAAAGGTCGGTCTTCGTCTGCTCTCCCGCGTGCTGAGGCTCATTCTAAATTACCACAAGTCTATCAACATTCGTCCATCCGTCATTGGCTACATCGCAAAGAGTCTTGCGCTCATTGGCGGGGGGAAAAAGGCGCAGGGTTGCCGCGTTTACGACTTCGTGTTCAGGCACTGTCATCGTATCGACGTGGATCTTCTCCTTTTGATCAAGGTGCGTATTCCGCCCGCGCGGGGAGTTGGTGGTCCTCTATTACTTATCTTTCTTAGGCTGTCGTCCTTTTCATGGCCGGAGAACACGACGATGGGGTATCGCGCGTTGACGATCTCATTACGACAGTGCACTTCAACTCAATATACTATGTGGTTCAGGCACGTGCAGAACACGCTGCTGCACGCGAACATTACCGCTGACATGTTTACCAGGCACACATGTTTCTTCTCCTAGGAAAATCACATATGCGGAGAAGAGATTTTAACCGTGCAATACATTTGTTTGAGCG